GTATAGATATATAGTTTCAAGAATCTTAATAAAGTACTAGCATAACTGCTTAAGGTTAAAAAAAAAAAAAAAAAAAAGATTGTAAGATTGCAATCCTAAATATCTCAATCAAGTTGTTAAAATAAGATTATTTTTTAAAATTCTATTATTAGTGAAATTTGAACTTTAAATCTACTGTTTGAAAAATAACAATCTAACTATTATACTAAAATTGTTATTCTCAAACTAATTTTATTTTTTTTATATTAAGTCTGATTTAATATAAAAAAAATAAAACTAGTTTTAAATTCTATCTTTATCTAATATTTTATAACAATAATAACAAATAATCTAATTATTTGATCAAAATTTAAATGACCTCTAGTCATCAAATAATAAGCAAATCATTTAAGTTATTAGATCATTTAAGTTATTTAATTTTATTGATCAGATATTTAATATAAAAAATTATTAAATAATATGATTCTATTATTAATAATAATAACTACAAACTAATTAAAAATAATTTAATTTTAAATAAAGTTGTTCAGAAAAATAAATTACATATATTTTAAAAATTTTTTTTTGAAATATTAAGATAAATATTTGTAATCTAGAATTTTATTAATAATATTTTAGCTAATAGTTTTATTATAACTACAAAGAACAATTATAGAAAGAATATATAATTAGTTACTTGTATAACTTTAGTTATTGTATAATTTAAGTAGTTTATCTAAAGGTTCTATACTAGCTAACATACTTGAAACCTACTTGTAAGTTCTTTATTTAAACATTATAGTTCTCATATTTACCTACTTATCTATACCTATTAATGACTCCAGTTAATACCAATAAAAATATATTATAATCACTAAGTTTTTAAAGCAGTTCATTTATATAATAAATCTTTAACTTTGTACTAAACTTTAGAATCTTTTGTATTTTATTTTTATAACTGATTCAATAACATTATAACAAAAACTAATACTTACAAGAGATGTGATAACCTAGTAAAGTGGATAGGTTGTCAGCCCTCAAGTGGCAGATCTAGAGTTCAAATCCTAGTAACAGTAAAAATTTGCAATTCTTTCTATGTTATAGTTAACTGTTTTCTGTAATTGGTTAGAATTAGATACTTATAAGTTGTTATACTAGTATAACTGAAAGGTCTAAGCACTTGTACAACATTGTATGAAAGAACACAAACTAGTATTAGGCAGTATGAACCCAAGATAAGTTCTTAGATCATGTAAATTACAGGAACTAGATAGAAAGAAAGAAGTCCACTTGGAAGATATGAGTAAAGAGGTAACTCAAATTTTTAACAGTGCTACTATAAAGACTAAACTTATGAAACAGAGTTAGAATTTGTAAAACTAAACAAATATGCTGGTCTTTAAGAAGAGACTAGATAAACCAACCAGGCCATTAGAATTTTTGAATTTTAGAAAAAATGGTATATGCTGGCAAACATGTAACCAAAAGTATATAATTATAATTTATCTTTCTGGGCTATTTGAAATGACAGTTTGGTAGAATTTGAATTGAATACCAAAGTAGTAAGGATATGTTATAAAGTTAGTATCAGGGTTGAGGTGAACTCTACAAAGGCATAGCAGTTTAATAGTATACTCTGACTGTTAGTATTGGTCTTGACTATAGCGATATCAGGTTAGCCATAAGAATAAGATATAGAAGATTCTGAAAGGTTTAGTACAAGGTTAAAGGTTCCAAAAAACTGCTTTAAAGACTTAGTGGCCATGACATATTTTTATCAGTATTGGCTGAGATTATTAGTAGACAAAGATAGGTGGATAGATACAGAAACTAGAATAGTTAAATAGAGAATATACAATTAGGTTCTAGGTATAACAACTAGTATAAAACCTTTGAATAGACTATTTAAATTAAACAATAACTAAAGTTGTATGAGTAACTAGTTGTATATCTTTTTTATGATTGTCTTCTGTAGTTATAATACAACTATTAGCCACATATATTATTAATAAAATTCTGGATCACAAGTACTCATCTTAATATTTAAAAAAAAAAAAATCAATATTTACAATTAGAACATATTATTAAACTGCAAGATTCTTGTAAAGTTCATACCAACTTTGATACTTATTTTACAACATATTCTTATTACTTTGATATTCAATTTAAATTTTACTAAGCTTTTAGTTCAAATAATTTAAAAAAATAGATATAACTATATTTTTGGTTTATATGTTCTTCTAATATGTAATATTTTTTCTAGAACAGATTTTGATGATCTGACTGGTTACAATAATTCTTTTTTAAAGATTAATTTGTTTTTATTTAACTTTACAAGTTCTAATTCTGTTTTATAAGTCTAATCTTTATAATAATATTATTTAAAGTTCAAGTTATCTTCTTACTTGAGTTTTTTAAGTAACCTTTCATCTTCTTAGTTTCTATAATTTACATAACTACAAGAACTTATTACAAATTCATATTACCTAGTACTAGTTTGTATTCCTTTATACAAAATACAACAATTATGTAAATGTTATATGAACTTTTAGTTATACTAGTATGATACAAATAACAAAAAAGGGTATGGTAACCTAGTGAAGTAGTCAGGTTGTCAACTCTCCAAGTGGTAGGTTGGGTGTTCAAATCCCATCAACAGCAAAAATTTAGATAATCACCTATGTAATATTTGTATTACAGCAACTGTTACTAATGATTGGGTTAGGATACCTGTAATGGCAGTCACACCAGCATGACTGGCAGGTTATAGGGCATCTGTGCAATGTTGGAGTTATACAAAAAAATGCAAACTGACAAATCGAGTAGTAAAAACATTAGATAAGTTCTTGTGGCTGTATAAATCCATTGAAATTGAGTAACAAGAAGTTCATTTAGGAAGACCCGAGTAGAGAGATAGTTGGATCTTTGATGATCCTACTGTAAAGGCTAGCTTGACAAAACAAATATCCAGGTCTAGTATCTGGTCATAGTAGCCAGACAGGCAAGAACCTCCAGGTTGGGAGTCTCAGAGGTACCACCAACCAGATGCCAAAATGAACTGGAGGAAAAGGATATTGGGCTGATCTGATATATCGATGGATTGGTCATAATCCTATATAGGCTATCTGGATTGGAAGTTTGGTAAAAGGATAGGGAAAAAGGCAGAGATATACTAAAGTACTAGAGTTATACTGTAAAGTAGATGCTGGGGTCTAAGTAAACTCTACAAGGGCATAATGGTTTAATGGTTAGCCCTGACTGCAAGTGTTGGTTCTGCCATAGTGATATCTAGGTTAGCTGTAAAAATAAATACAGAAGGCTCTGAGAGGTTTATCTCGAGGATAAATTAGTCCTAAAGTTGAGAACGATGATCTGATACATCTGAAATGACCAGTGATGTTAACACAGGTTATAGGTTTAAAGAGTTTAAAGTAGAACACCCAAGCAGAAGTATTAGATATACCAATTGGTAAAGAACCTTTAGGCAGACTCCTTAAATAGATAATATAGAAAAGTTACATGTGTAACCAATTGTATGCTCTCCTGTAGTGGTTCATTGAACTACAATACTGATAAGTGATTAATAAAAGTCAAAAGACCAAAGAGGTCACCTTAATATTAAAAAAAAAAATAAATAACAAGTATCTAATTCTAACTAATAACAAAAAACAGTTAACTATAACATAAAAAAATTTTAAATTTTTATTAACACTAAGATTTGAACTCTAAACCTGTCATTTGAAAGTTGACAACATAACCATTTTACTATATTATTATATCTATATATTTTAAAAATTTTATATAATTTAAATGTCTTTTTAATAACTTTTATTATGTTTTATGTTTATATAGTATAGAACAGTAAAAGACATCTAATATATATATATAGGTGTCAATTTTTGATACTTATATAATTAATTCTGATTGGCTAATTTTTATGTAATTGATTTTGATTAGTTAAAAATATATATATGTTTTCTTTTTTTTATATTAAACATTAATTTTTTAAACTTATATAAATTTTAATTCTTTATAACTTTTTTAAAACAAAAAATAAAAAAAAATCTTCTGACAGAAATGTAGTTTATTCAAAAATCTATCAATTTGTCAGAGGTTTTTTTTATTTAACCTGTTTTAAAAAAAAGTTATTGCACTTCAAAGTTTTTATTAATAAACATTAAATGTCTTTTACTATCCAGTACTGTATAAAAAAATTTAAATCTTTTTTGTATAAACATAAAACATAAAATTAATAAAAAGTTATTAAAGTTATACAAAATTTTCAAATTATATGCAATTTGTTCTTCTGAACAACTTTACTTAAAACGAAATTATCGATTAGCTTAATAAGTTTTTTAATTTATATAAAGCTACTATTATTGGTCATATTTTGTAAGTCTAATAATCAATTTTGATTGACTAAACAGCATTAGATTATCAATTAACAGAAGTTAAAATGACCTTCTTAGGTCATTTGTGTTTTGAAATGACCAATGACTAGTCATTTGTCATTTGAGTCATTTGGGTCATTTCAAGTCATTTACCATCACTGTTTCACGGTTCTTGAAATCTTTTATACAATTCACTAATTTCTAGCCCTTAGCATAAACGAAATTTTCGGCTATCATGTGAACATGCAATTTTTTTGGCAAGTCCCTGGCACTTTTGCAACGCTCTAGATTGATAATCTACTTGGTTGATTGATAATTAATCTATTCAAGTAACTTTCAGGTGGGTAAGTCAATATAACCAATGGGTTTTTGGTTACACGAATTATTACATTCTAAAATCGTTTATATGTTTTGTGTTCTTTGTTTGCGAAGTTTACGTTTTCGGTTTTCACATGCGTTCACATGTTAACTAATTATAATTGAAGAAATGCGCGCATTGACTTTAGTTTCGCTTACTTTTTCTATCATAAATGTTATTAAGTGATGGGATTTACAGGACTCCCTCCCGAGTTATCATTGTCGATTTGTAGTGAACTTGACGAAGAAAATTTAAATATTTTATCAATTGTTTCACATGATTTTAATAAATTAGCTTCAGACAATGAAATATGGAAACAATTTGCTTTAGAAAGGTGGAAGGATAAACAGGGGATAAAAAAAATATGCGAAGAGAACCGTCGATTTTGGTCTAACTCTGGTACTTGGAAACGCGTTTATAGTATCGTTGAGAGAGAAGCACAGCGAACTTTATGGGATGTAAATGACTTGGTTGAAAATAGTTGGACTTGTACAGTAAGTCAATTAAGCCAACTAAAAATAAATTGTATGCGCGTAAAAAAAAGCAATACCTAACCAGAATTATTTACAGCATAATGATAATCATTGGGGCACAAATCAATTAGTAACATTCCACCCAAATGGTACTTACACCCAACATCATCAAGCTTTTTTTGATCGGTCTTATTCGGTTTGTATTACATAATGTATTTCAGAATTTTTGATGACTCGAATGTTGAAATATTGTTTTTTAAAAACTATGAAGTGGTCCATTGCCGGCGATGGATCTATAAGTTTGAACCAAAAATCTTATAAATCGTCTAGATCTCCTGATTGGAATTTAATAATTGAAAATGACTTGTTGACTTTTACTTCATCCGGTAACGAAAGTTTTAGAAGGAAGTTAAAAGAATTCGATTCCGAATTGATAATTGAATTCGGACAATGTGGCAATAATCATTTAAGATAACTATAACACATTAAAAATATCCTTACTCAGTCAAAATCAAAAACAAAATTGTAATTAAATAAATATATTTATTCGTCAGCTTTTATATTTCACCAAAAATTCTTCTTGAAACTTTCCTTGACGTTGCAAAATGATGAAACTAGGAATACCATTTTTTACAACATATTTTGGATGCGACAATACTTCTTTTAAAGTGCAATTCTTTCCAATTCTGATTAACTTTTGTTTTTTTTCGTTACCAGTTGATAGTGTATATTCGTAGTAAATTTGTAAATTATCTGGTGTATATTTATGTTCTATATCCCAAGGTGCTAATTGTTCAAAAATCACTTCAAGATGATCTAAAAATGTATTTTCTTCATTAAATGCCTCAATAAAATCTGATTCTTTATATTCTGGGTATAGGAAAAAGACCGGCCAAATTAATTGTTGAGTTTCAGTATCTATATGTACTGAGTGTGGTGATATCGGTGTATTGGGAGTTGTTTCCATTTTAATATTACGTATCTACAGTATTAATAAAACATATTAGTATTTTTTGATTAATTAATTTTAGTCAAACATATATCTTTTAACCTTTATAGCATTCTCTAATGCCTCTTTTGTTTCTCGTTCCTTTCGCTCATGCTCTTTCTTAATTTTAGCCTTTTGTTCCAATACCTCTTTCCGTTTAACACAAGTCTCTTCCAATTGTTGTAAAGCCAAGTTATTTGGCTCTATCTGATAATGTTTTACAAACATGATATTATGAGATGATCATCTTGCACATTATCTACGATACAGAAATATTGATATTTACTTTAAGCCCATGTTCACAACAATCTAAAGCCTGATCAATTTTATCAAGTGCATGTAATGCTTTTGCAGAGCGATAGAATGCCTTGATATTTTTAGGATTTAATTTAATGGCTTTTGCACAATCAGTAAGGACTTTACGATAATTTTCTATAAAGAAAAATAATCTTAAGTAGTAAACATATAATAAAATTAATAGATGTTATTGTTCTGGTGAAATTAATTACTATTTACTTACGCAATTCTAAATTAACGGCCGCACGATTTGTTAGACAAGCTTCGATTATTGTATTGTCTTGACAATTTGCTTCTAATGCTTTCGTATAATAATTTATCGCATCTTGATATTGTGATTTGCCAGCTTTAAAGCATTCATTCCCTTGGTTTTTAAAGTTCTCAGCAATTTCTATAGAATATATAAAAATACAAATGTTTACATTCGAACCCAAATGTAACTAACTTTTTAGTGTAAATACCTTCAGGTGGGCCTTCGTAAATTAAAGACTGTAAAGCCGCAAGTGCATCATTTTCTTCCTCTGGCAGTTCAGTCATGAATAAAGGAACTTTATTCATTTGTTTGAGAAAGTCCTCTTCAGAATCTCTTTCAAATCCGCCATCAACTTTCGGTCTCTCCGGGCCTAATACGTTAGACATGTTTATTTTTATAGATTTGAAAATCTATCTTTAATAAACTTTTATCGAGCTGTCCTACATAGAAAGACTTCATTTGGTTGGCTAATTTATGATGATCAAAACGTGATAATTAACCTCATAAAGGAAATCTGCGCCATAAGTAGGGCTTGGAGTAGAGATGGGCAAGGTAATTACTTATTACGTAGAAAGTTAAATCACACTATGTGCCAATTTAGCATGTTATTTAGGTTAAGTATATATTATTGGTAAATTGTCGCATAATGTGATTTGATTTTTTACGTAATAAGTAATTACCTTGCCCATCTCTAGCTTGGAGATGCTTCGAGGCTAGGTCTTAGGTGTTTTAGATCTCCGATTTTGTAGTTATTTAATTTATGAATTCAATATTAGTTTAAAAAATAATGTAGTATTCATTTATAGTTTTCTAACTCTCAGGCTTGGGTAATGCACTAAGGTTAGGTTTTAAGTGTTTTAGATTTCAGATTTTGTAATTATTTAGTTTAAAAAATAATGTAGTAAGCATGACTGAAGTTCTTTCTTATTTACTATTGTGCTTTCTTAACCTAATACTAACAATTGCTTGTGTTGCTTCTATTATCTAAGTTATATTTTTTACATTCTATAAGTACTGTAAAGGTTTTTTTGTATATAATTTTGTTAATAAAAATACTTAAATTTTATTAAAGAAATCTTGTCAGGTTTAAATAATTTTTAGAAATACATAAATTTAAGAATAAAAGTATATTAAAAATAGAAACTAAGTTTACTCATAAGGCTTATTAATCTATCTAGAATATAATTAATAATAAATAAAAATAAAAATAGAAAATAAATATAAACAAATTAATAAGAATCTCTAAATTGAAAGTTTCAGAAGTACCATTAACTAGGTCATTAAAACAAATCAAAGAAAAAGAATATTGGGTTGATTTGATATACTGATGCACTGGTTGTAGTCTTATATAGATTATCTAAATTAGGAGTCTAAACAAAAAGTTAAACAAAAGGCAAAGGTATATTAAAGTACTAAGATTATGCTATGAAGTAAATATTAGAGTCTATATAAACTCTACAAAAGCATAGTGATTAAATAATATAACTCTAATACAAGTATTGGTTCTGTCATAGTAATATTTAGTTCAGTTAAAAAATAGATATAAAAGGCTCTAAAAGATTTATTTTAAAAATAAAATAGTCCTAAGCTTAAGATAATAATCTGAGCATCTGAGTATAATCTAGTAAGTTAACATAGATTACAGGTTTAGAAAATTTAAAATAAAATATCCAAACAGAAATATTAAGTATAGCAATTAGTAGTAAACCTTTAAGTGAACTTCTTAAATAGGTAATATAAAAAAGTTACATATATAGTCAATTGTATACTCTTCTGTAATGGTTTATAGAATCATATTATTAAAAAAGTTAATAAAAGTTAAAAGATTAAAAAGATTATATTAATACCAAAAAAAAATAAAAAATAAATAAATGTAAATTATTATTATTATTTTTTTTTTTTTAACCTTAGGCAGTCATGCTAGTACTTTATTAATATTCTAGTAATTACTACAATTACATCGATGT